CCCCCAAGCTGACGTCACGCGCGTCGTCTGTTTTGATGCGGACGCTCTCCCGGTGCCAGCCAGACAATCGCCCGGGTCATTGTCGACACCAATCTAATTCTCCCATAAGCGTCCGCACAAAGAGCCCACAGGGAGCACTTAGAAGGGATCTGGAGGTCGGCCTGTGATTTACAGGCAGGAGGACAATCGGATTATAGGCAGACAGGCAGTACAGGGAGAGAGAGGAAGGGAGGACACGTGTGCGCGCCGGGTCCTGCCGACCCTCCGGTCTGGAACGCTTCCTCTCCATCTATCGATCTCCGGCAAGCTCCGGCCTCCTGAATATCAGCACAAGGCGCGGCACAGAATCATCCCCAGCATAGGGATTGTATGATAGGCGGGCATGCCACCATGATACACGTCCTGCAGATCAGCAGCGCTGATCAATAATGGCGCACCGATGATGAGAACGCATGTTTAGGGGCCATTTATCATCCCATGTTGTGGGAACGCATGCACGGCAGCACACATTACAGCCAGGCACGGGAATGCACCTAACCTGCGCTGCTGCGTTGCAGTTCCATTCATTTTGAGCGGCATTCTACACCTCTGAGGCACCACACCTACGTTGTATCGTGCTGTAATCCCGTTTCCACCTCTTCTTGGCCTACTCCCTATCTCCTCCAGCCTCTTTCAGCCGCTTCCTGTCTACATACACTCGCTCCAGTGTTGGCTGCACCTCATTGCTCACGACCTGCTTCCTGGAGGACCATGCGTGGGCAGTGTGCGTTGGCATGGCCACTTGTAATCTCCACCAGTAACTAGAAGTACCCGGGCAACCTTTGTGGCAGGATCACCAGGGATTATATTCCTGAAATGTGGAGATTTAAAACCAGTTCTGAAATGACACATTACCACGTTACGGTTATATATGAGATTTCAGTTATTGGGTTTAGATTCCAGTGGCATCACAAAGGGGGTGCGGGTGACACCATTGGGGGGGTGACACCAAAATGACTGAGAGTCATTCTGGTGTCACCCCCCCCCTAAAAAGTCGGGCACTCGGTCATCATGGACCGAGAGCCCGACAGTGTCAGGAGAGAGGAGGAGACCCGGCGGGATGGGAACGTCCCTCCTTCGGGAGGACTCTTCTCCTTCCTCTATCTAACTCTGCTCTCCTGAAATACTCTACCCTCCGGGAGGACTCTTTTCCAGGCTAGATCCCTACATTTAAGTGGCACCCTGTCCATATTGATCAATCTTAACCCTCCTCTCAAAATTGGGCCTGGGCAATCCCTTAAGGCCAATGGGACATGAAAAGCTTAGCTCAAGATCCGGCGCATTAGGACTTTCCCCCGGGGCGGAAGCCTTATCTCTACCCTTCTGAAATACTCTGCCCCCCCGGGAGGACTCTTTTCCTTCCTCCATCTATCTCTGCTCTCCTGAACTACTCTGCACTCTGGGAGGACTCTTCTCCTTCCTCTATCTGCATGTAAAACAACTTAGCCAAATACCAACTGATCCCCCGGATCGGGGACTCCAATGATTGGATCACCCTTAGGATATCACCCCAGTTTTGTGAGGGGAAGGGCC